CGAAATAGATCTACTGTATTGCAAAAAAAAATTCTTAATACATTAATATAATTAACTTTGATATGTTAACATATAATTAAACATTAATATGATCACATATAATTAACTTTAATTTGTTAACATATAATATTAAAAAATAGGTTACATACTAATAGTTAACTTTTTTACCAATCAAATATTATTATGTATAGTTTATTTTATATACTGATCGTACTTATTTCACAAATATATTTTTTATTACTTTACTCAGATTACTTTGACAAACAAAAAAAAACTAATTCTCTCACTTCCTCCCATCCATAACCCTTACAAAAATATATAAAACCTGTTAAATAAAATCAAATTTAAAATTAGTAGTAAAAAATAAATAATATCATTTTTACAAATCAATTAAGCTGTAATCAGAATTTGGTTAATTTCAATTTGTAATTTTTACTTAACTAATAAATTTATAATCTATAGTTCATAAATATATTGAAAATGTCTTTTTATCAATACAAAACAAATAATTTAGAATTAAAATATTTTGATGAATATTTTTATTGAAGTTTACTTTATTTATTATGAATTATCGTTTTATCTTATTTCGTAATATATGTATTTCTGAAAATAAACTTCTACTTGAAATAAAATTTGATTATTTAAAGTTCATAAATATATAAAATTATTTATTTATTAACTAAAATAAATAATTTAATTATAATTATACTAGTTATATATTTTTTAATATATTTATCTATAATCTGTAATCCGTACCGCTTTAGTTTTATTCACCATTCAAACATTTTTTGTGAACTGCAATCTGTTTTTTTTCACCAATCAAACATTATTCTGTACCACTAATTATATAGAAACCGCACTTGTCCTGTTAATATATTTTCCCGCACGTACCGCAGTTGAACCGTACCACACTCTAAAACCGCTTTTTCCGCATAGCTAAAAACGCTGTCAACATTCGAAGCCATTATATTGGTAGGAAAGAAACACATACTCCATCTGTTTTTAATTAAAGAGTTAAGTGATGTTTTAGCATTGTGCACACAAATTAAGAAATCTTGTAATAATACTATTTCTAATATTTTTTAATTGAATTTGGTGCTTTTTGAAAGGAAAGTATATCAATAAATAAAGGTAAATAAAATTATTTTGTATTGATTTTTGTATAGATTTGTGAGAACATCACTTATTTAAAAACAAAAAAAAATCTCTTAAAACATCAATAATTCAGAATAAAGGGAGTATTTAATACCAGATCAATTATTTCTTTTTTTTTGGTACTAATCGGATTAATTATTTCATCAAGCATTTTTGGTTATCTAAATAAATGTTCAAACCGTAGATCAAGTTAATTAGAATGACTCAAATATGATCTTATTGATAATCGTTACTCGAATCGATCAAAATTTGAATCGCTGGTAGTTATGATTTCAAACCATAAATCACATCAACTCACTCTTACAAAGATTTTTCTAGGTTCAAGTAAGTTTTTTTAACAAAAAAAAACTATTTTAGTACTTTTTTTTGAACAACTATTTTGGTAATTTCTTCGATAATTTTCGATCCTTTGTCACTTAAATATTTTTGAATTCATCTTGAAAAACCTCATGATCACGTTCTTAGTCTATAAGACCCTAAAATATGAAAGCTAAAATGATGAGCCCACAACCACAACTAAGAAAAATATCAATATTGTGATTTCTTGAAATTAATCAAGATTCTATAAATTGGAAGCGATAAAGATGAATTAGGTGAAGATGAGATTGCTTGAAATCGTGAATACACTACTGAATTCTCCAAGTGCTCGTGTGGGTTTGCCGAGGTTTTTTTTTGGTCTGGTCTGCAAAAGAAGTAAATATGCTCACCATAACGTTAATTAGTGTAGTATATATGTCCGCTATCTTTTTAATAAACATGCACCATAACATTTTTATAAAAAGGTGAAATTAAAAAGTAAAATAAAAAGGTTAAAAAAGTTTGACATTGCATGCAAATAAATATAGGTGTCGAAACTAAAAGTAATAAACCATTTGGGACAAAAATGAAAATTGATTTAAAAAAAAAACAAATGGCTTTAATTTACTAAATTGAATTAATAAATATCAGGATGACTGTTTCTCTTTCTTTCATTTTCCCCAGGTACTTCCTACCTATAAATATAACATCTCATCAAACTCATTGTTTCGTACTCAGCTTTCTTCTTTTTTCTTCGTTTAAAAGTGACAATATAAACATAAAAGAAAAAAAAAATCAAGAAGAAGAAAAAACATAGAAAAATGAGGCACTTGAGCATTAAACCAACATCAATAGATGTAGCGAGACATGCCACGTTAGCAGAATCATTCGGAAATCACCGACCGCCACAATCGCCGTGGCATTCGCCGGTGCCGTATTTATTTGGAGGCCTTGCGGCGATGTTAGGTCTCATTGCCTTCGCTTTACTCATCCTCGCCTGCTCTTATTGGCGCTTATCCACCTCCGGTGACAATTCTGGTGAAGGAAACGACGGAGGAGTCGACGAAGTGAAAGAGAGTCGATCGGGCGAGAAGGCGGCGAACGCAGCGTACGAGGAGAAGATTCTTGTCATAATGGCTGGAGATGACTTGCCGAGTTTTCTGGCGACGCCGGCGGCGAACAAGTGTGTGTGTGGTCACGAGGAGGGTAATATGGTAATTTCGAAGGAGGATGGTGGTGGACAGGAAGAGAAAGCGAAAGAAAATGAAGAAGATACAACGAGTCACTGAAAAAAAAAATGCTGCTCTCAGTTTTTTGTTTTGACACTTATTTTTTTGTTGTAACTTATTTGCTTTTAGGTCTTTCCTTTTGGGGGATTTTCTTGGGAGATTTTCCCGGGAATGTAAATTTTCTGAGAGAAAATTTTGGGTTATGATTTATGAATGCTTGTTTGTAATTTCCCATTCCCATATTGGGAAAACTACCTTTCTCTAGATTTCCTCATTCTCAAGATGCAATAGAAGTGCTCATCAATCCAAAAAGCTTGCAACAATTTTAGAAAAACAAAAAAAAAGCTTGCAAAGTTTTAATGGAAATTTTAATTCATCCCAGACATAAAGATTTAATACATTCACTCTTTGTTTGCGTATTTATTCTCGACATTTTCTTATTTTCCAAAGATATTCGCTTATTTACCTTTTTAAATGAATTGTTATACTTGTGTATCCGATCTTCCATATACTGTATTTGTGTTACTTTCATATTTTCGTTGGAGTTATATATTTTTCCATCGGATTGTGCTAAATTAGCTATCAATTAGAAATTTTTTTCTGAGTCTGTTGATAATCCGTAACTATTGTGTATTCACCACCAAAGTAATGTGTTTTATGAATTAACATCGAATTCTTTTTAAGTAAAATTTATAAAACACATAGTATGGTAATTCGATTACTTGCCCCATTTGCTTACTTTGCTTTTAATTGATGATGATATCCGATAATCATGACAAATATTTCTTCTGTTCTCACACTATTAATGCAAAGATATTTTGAAGTGAAGTGCACTCCACACAAACGTCTAAATTTAAGTTTGTTTACTTGGTATAATGACTTTATGTGTAATCTTCGATTAGTGTTTAATTTACAAAAAAAAAAACCATAAACGGCTTTGGACAGTTCAATCGGTTCAGGCTGATTTGCACAACATACAGGCTACCACAGTCCACTGATTTAAACAAAAAGGTGAAAACAAAATTGTAAATTATCGTCCATTAGTAGCAGCAAAAGGACTTGTTAATTATCGTCCACTGTTTGTTCTCTGTATCTAAGAGCTGCGTAAGGAAAATGATACACGTGTCGTTAAAGAGAGTTAATTATAGAACGAAGACAATGATTCTGTTTTTGACTTATTTGACATTTGCTGAGCTGTTTTTTCGTGGTGCCGAGTAGCCGCGTCTCGCACAAGAAATTTCCAAAGCAAATCCTTCTTATTTAATCTCATTTTCTCTATTAAAACAAAAATATGTTTTGTGTCCAAACAGATTTATTTTAGTTTTTTACTATTATATTTTGAATAACTCTTATTTATGTTACCAAACAAATCAATTTAATATACAATTAATAAAATAATATATTTTAATTTATATTTTAAAATAAATTCGAAAATTTAAATTTAAATTTAGATTTGTTATAGATTTCCTTAAATATATGTTATATTATTTATTAAAATTCATAAATAATTTATTTTTATATTTTACAAAAATAATAAATTGAATATTAATTTAATTTCATTTAAATATTGAAATATTATAATATTTTCAATAAAATAGATGAAAATGATATATTATTATTAATTTTTATTAATAAGTGTAAAATTTTAAATATTTAAACTTAAAAATATATTAAATATATTAATAATATAAATGGACGGATTTAAAATTATGTTTTAATAATCACGATCATTTTTGAATTAATATAAATAGACATGTTATAATTACATTTTTATATTTATTATTTCAGATTAATATATATAAATCGGTGTGTTAGAATAATATTTTTTTAATCATGATTATATATATATATTAGAAAAAAGAACTTAATACAAATAAATTATATATAAACAGAAAAAGTATTTATCAAATAAATTAAAAATAGTTTTGCACGGGTAGAATCTAGTTGCATTTATTTCTCCCCTTTAATTTTTCTCAACTTTGTAACCGTCCTACTTTTAGCCGCATAAACAATCGTACAATTTTTAAAACGTACAATAAATCACAATTTAAACAAAGAAAATAGTATATACTGAGTAGTAGTTATTAGTAACAAACAAGAAAAATTTACGATATTTTGATTACTGTAAACTTCAAGCGTGAATCATATTAAATGTAGTGTTAGTACTATAGCATTAGCCCATTATTTAACAAACAGAAAATATCTATAGCATTAGCCCCTTGGTAATTTTATTTTTGTGTTAATATTATGTTTATACTTTGTACGTTTGGATATTAATAGTACATACTTTTAGCAAGCAAAGAACACAATTTAGGAATATTTAACATATAGTCCAAAAAAGAGGAAACCAAGGATATAAGCAAAGAAGAACTAAGGATGGAAGCCAGCAAGCACGCATGGAATCAAGGAAGGAAGCAAAGAAGTAAACAATAAATCAAGAAAACAATAATTATGGGAGCAAGTAAGAAAACAAACAAGCAAGGAACAAAGGATGCAAGCAATTAGAGAAATAATCTCGCTTCTTCCTTGAAGGACTTATTTATTCTCTCGTATCATCTTTCATTCTTTTGTCTTTCTCACGGGTTCTATTCTTTTATAATGAATTTGAAAATTTTTAAATTATCCTTGTAATTTTGTAAAGAAGACATCAATAAATAGAAGTTTGGACAATGACAATTAAGCATAGATAAGTCAATCAGAAAAGGTGAAACAAAATTCGTCCAGTAAGATATAAACAAAATTAGCCAATCAGAAGCAAACATATCAAAATTTGACTAATCAGGAACGTACTGACAAAAATTTGACGTCAAAAATTCAGCCAATCAGAAACAACAGGCTTTGTCTGGACCATTTTGGAACCATCTTTGACCAATTTTCATCCTAGCTATCATGACAGAGAGAACGAGAGAACTTGAATCCCTCAGGACAGGTCTTGACCTATTGCACTCATCCGACATTGAAACTTAATCGAGGTAAGTGATGTGGCTTTCATTGGATTTTTATTTTGTGGATTTTGGAAGTCGTTGCCTTAAGAACCACTATTGAGAATTAAATTAGAATTTTAATTAAGGAATTATAGACTATAGAACTGGTTATTGGTTGTTTGCTAATCGAATGGGTATTTAGTGGATAAGAGGTGTAGATGTTAAACCGTAGTGAATACGGAATTAGATTAGAGTTTTTTTTTCAAGTTGACTAATTATGCGAGAAAGAGTATAACTCGGTACAATTGGTATCACTGTCAATTGCGTACAACTGGAAACAATTAGTATTACTAAGTGAAATTTTTATGCAGTTGAGTATTTTTCTCTGTTATTTTTTCAGGTGATAATGATAACTGATGCGTGCTCGTGTCAACTACGTGAGGGAACAAGTTTTACCCTTAACAAAACAAATGAAAGCCGCAAGTGCACAGCTAATCAGTTGTAGTATTTAGGGATCGAATCCACAGAGATTTGTGTGCCTGGTATTCTTCTACGGTTTTTAACTTTATGTCTAGACTAAATTAGTTTTAAAGGTTGGTTGTTTTTCTTGCAAATTAAACTAAAACAAAAGAAAGCAAATAAATCTATCTTAAAAAGCAGGTAAAGAAAATCGAATGAAATGCAAATGGAATAAGTAAAATATCGAACTAAACAAAAATAAGGCAAGTAAAATATCGCATGAAAGGTAAATAAAGAAAGTAAATAACGAACTAAGGAAATTGAAATGCAGGTCTAAGAAAGCAAGTAAAAATCGATGGAATTGTAAACCATGGCTAAAAACGCTGAGCTTTTGGGAACTCTAAGGGATCATAATCGGTTTTAACATTAGTGTAGATAGATTGGGATTGACGGATAACAATATATGGGTTCTAGAGCTAGAGTACGGCGGTATGACTACGTCACTGTCGTGATCATAACCAACTGTTTCTCGCAACCCTGACCAGTAGGTTTCCACTCTGGCCCTGGAAGGAAGAGAACGCAAGAGCTACACAAGACTCGTCAACACTCACGATCTCGCCGCAGGTAGGTTTCCACTCCTATGGAAAAATCGCCTGTTTCATTCTAGGGCTGATACTTAATGAAAACTTTCGCAACACTAACTATCTAGATCAGATACTAGGTGATCAATCAAGAATACATGCAATAAGAACAAGAATAAACAGAGAACAGGTCGAAATCCCAGATCTATGAACCTAGATGTCTTAATCGATTATGAGAGCCCCTTTCGGGAACCCTAAGCCCAACTCGGGATCTACTCAGACATGGCTGAGTTCGACATCATCATTGGTTTTAATAAAAGTAATGAAAAACAGTAAAGAAAAGAGATAAAGAAAGCTTCCCTATTGAAGAACTCGGACTTGAACAATCTTCTACAAAAATCTCATAAAAACGGCTAAAGGAAAAGGGTTTCTGTAAAGTATGAAAAGCTCTCTCTAAAAACGACCTAAATGACATGTATTTATAGTCTCCAATACTCCATGGTCTCTAGGGTTCCGGAATTGAGGCTGGGAATGACTTTGGGCTTCAGATAAGTGGGCTTTAAGTCGGAGGTTGAATGCCGCTGTCGGGAGTGTTGTGACCGCGGCAATTGGCTTGTTGGCCGCGGTCGGGAAGCTTCTGACCACGGCAAATAGCTTGTTGGCCGCGTGAGTTGCTGGCCGACTCCGCGTGGCTCCGGGGCTAATAGAATATCTTGAGATCCAACCGTTGGAATGTCTCCAAACCAAGTGCATTTGAAAGCTGGTTGATTCTTCTATAAGTTGTCCAATTTTGAGGGTGATCAGACGGTGAGAAGGTCTTCGTCTCTCCATGAGAGTTCTGACGGTCTGCATTTATCCAAAAGAGTCTTTTTGTTCCATTTTATGCCTCTTTATCCCAAATTACCTGAAAAGTCTTTTAAAATCCAGAAACATAGAAATCCTTTGAAAACCTTTGAAAATGGAGTAAAAACACCTGTAAAAGATATTAAAATGATCCATAAAAATGGTCAAAATCTGGTGTTATCAACTCCCCCAGACTTAGTCTTTTGTTTGTCCTCAAACAAAACAAAGGCTAAATCTCGGCGAGAGGTTTGAAAACGCAGGAACTAAACAAAATTTCAGAGACCAAACTTCTAGACCAATATCAATCAGTATGCATCAATCGGGAATAGCCTAGAAAATTCTCACTAGCAATACAGGCATAACTAGTCCGTTAATCCGTCATGCAGAAATCTATGCACTAA